AACAGATGCTGATTGGGCTGGTTCAGTTACAGATAGGCGCTCGACATCTGGGTATTTTATGTTTGTTGGTGGCAATCTTGTTACGTGGAGGAGCAAGAAACAAAAGGTGGTGTCTCGGTCTAGTGCTGAGGCCAAATATCGGAGAATGGCCCATGGTGTTTCTGAATTACTATAGTTGAGGAGATTGTTGAGAGACCTTGGTTTTGGGCCTAAGAAACCCATGGATTTATATTGTGACATACGGCTGCGATTGCAATTGCTCATAACCCTGTACAACATGATCGTACAAAGCATGTGGAAGTTGATCGAAATTTCATTAGAGAAAAGTTGGATGCAGAGATTGTTTCTTTTCCGTTCATCCGTTCTGAGTACCAGTTAGCCGATGTTCTTACGAAAGCTGTTTCTACAAGTATCTTTCTCAACTCGCTTGACAAGTTGAGCATGCGTGACGTCTTTGCTCCAACTTGAGGGGGAGTGTTAGCGAGAGATATCCTATTTTATTAGGATATTATTTTATTTATTTTCTTTTATATAGATATTATGTAATTAGGATTCCCCTTGTTTTCCCAGTTTGACCCTACTAGGATTTGTAACCTTGTATTATAAATACCTCCTTTCGGAGAATGAAATACATCTGAAAATATTCTACCATATTATTTGACTATTATTTGACTATAAGGCCTGCTTTTCTTCTTGAGCTTCGTTTTAGGCACAGCATCATGTTCAGGAGGGCGCTGTGACATTGTGTAGTTATAGACAGTAGGAGCATGCTTTGATAGATAACCATAGAGTGCAGGAGATGGAGAGTGATATTGATCATGAAATCCATATAATGGACGGCCAGGAACAGAAGCTGCTGCATGATGAGGGTAAGTATTATAACATCGATTGGGAACTGGTGCAGGAGGATTAATACCTGCATAAGGAAATACAGGAGGACTACTAGTAAACCAGTTGGTGTAATGCAATATTGGCACAAAGCATGCGTACAACTGACGGGAGGGTTCCATTTAGTTTGCTGGCTATGTTTGACATGCGTACAATAAAGAGACTTGCTCTAACCTTACAAAAGCTTTGGCACTAGACTATGTTTGACTTAGGTGGCGTTTGGCCCCGCTTAAATTTTTTAAAAAGCAGCTTTAATAAAAATTTGGCATGAGTTGGGTGTTTGGTAAACCCAAAAAAACACGCTTATTTTAAAAACACCCATCATTAAAAGCAGAAACTCAAAGTCGCCAATACCCAGCTTTCAAAAGCTGCTTAAAAAAAGAGCCGGTTTTCTCATTAATGAAAGTTTTATTATTCCAATAATACCCCTAAATATTTCACAAAATGACAACGTTTATCCCTCTATAATCTCGCGACCTTCACACTCTCTGACCTTCACTCTCACAGACTGCTCTTCTCACTGTTCTTCTTCTTCCTCCCCCTGCATCTCAAAATTCCATCTCAATTAAGGAAGTTAATTGCTAACAACAATCAGCTACTCATCAGTGAGTTCATCTTCCCATTACATTTATGATTTTTGGGTTTATATATGTTATGAAATTAGGTTTTTTTGTTTGGTTTCTATGAGATTGGGGGCTTTGTGTTCTTGGGGCTTTAGGGGGAAGACACGGGAGAGATAGAGAGACAGAGAGACAGAGAGAGAGTTTTGCTCCTAGTTTTGTACTGGGTTTGTCTCTCCTTGCTTTTTGGCAAGGTTCCTCCCTAGTTTGGTCTAGGGTTTTCAATTGGCCTTTGGGTCAGATACTTCTCTCTCTGTTTCTGTTTCTCTGAAACATATCTGTCCTATATGCTTTTTTTTCTCTAGATTACCCAACCATCATTGTTCATAGATTTATTACTCATTGTGTAGTTTGGTACGGTTCCAAAATCTCAAGAACAAAAGTAATCAAATAATTAATGGATTTCATCACTTTAGTGTATTTTTGCTATTGTTATTCTTCAGTGATTCTTCAATGTAATTTGGTTGTTGCCGCTGTTACTCATAAGCCTCTACGGTGAAGTGGTTGAGCAGAGACTTATATTTGGGCTGCGGGTTGGGTAGTAGAACTAGAATCTCACTGATATTGATGGTTTGCAATCATATATATATATATATAGCCCAAGTCAAGTCCCGTGTTGATTTTTCCATTGTCCTAACCTTGTTGTCTTCAAGCTCAAAGATAATTCCTTTGAACTACAAGAAAAGAGTGAAGAAGCCATTAGCTCCAGATCTGGTGGCTTCTCTTTTCTCAAGAATGAAAAGAAAAAAAAAATCCTATTCTTTGAAACTGCTATTCCATCTAAGTTGTCGTCCATTGTTGTGTTAGAAGATTTTTGGTAAATAAAGCTTTTAATTTTTAGTGGTCATAGTTTCAAGTTCTTACTTATTATTATTTTTTGTTAGTGTCGGTGGACTTTATTATTGTGTTAGAAGAATTTTGATTGGGTAATGGTTTCAAGTTCTTCCTTTTAGTTATATTTTTTGTGTTGGTGGAAATATTGGCTAAGACTTTATGTTATCTTTGTCTCCTCGGGTGAGAATAGGCTAGCTAGTTCCTCAAGTAATATATGTTAAAGATTAGGAAAATTATATAGTTCTTGTTCTTATGTCAATTGTGAAGGTGATCAATTTATTTTCATGTGTGGATTCGTCTTCTTGTTGGTTTTCTTTCATGAATCATTAGGATAACTCCATGCTTGGACTCTTTGTCTGTTGTTGAGATTGAGAAGTGGGTTTAAGGAAGTTTTCTTGGGAGTTGTTATCATTTTCAAACATATACCATATAGTGGATAATATAGATGAATATTCATATCTGTACGAAAAGGAAAGTTTGCTATTTTTATGCTTTCAGTATAATGTATATTGCGACAATTATTTGCTATTATCTATTTCTCATACTCAACACATATTTCTTTAGTAAGGATGGGAAAGAATGTGGGAAGTTCATCAAAAGCTCCAGCTACATGGAATAACCACAATGACACTTCATAATTATATAAGGAGGCATGCCAACGTGATAGACATTTTGATGCTTCAAATGATATCTTAAGTGAAGAGATAGGTGAGGATGTTGATGTGCAACAAGAACTTCATAGTCTTCATGACAATGGAACACAAGAGATGGAAGCATTGAGAAATAGCATCGCTACAAATTTAATGAATGCATCTAATTAGCTTTTTTTTATATTGTAGTGATCTATTTGGGCATGTTAAAATTGAACAATTTTTGTATATTTGGTATGCTAACCCTCTACAAAGCCCTCAAAACACATTGTTATTATTAATATAACAATATTTAGAACTATTTTTGTTACAATATTAATTTATAATTTATGGTAATATATGTGTGCTAATTGTAGATTACAATTTTTTATTACAAAAATGTGTAAATTAAAAAAAGAAAACAAATTTATGTAGTGAAGTTTGTTTTCTTTTTTTAAAGTAGAAAAAGAATGAAGAAAAAAACAAACAGTTTCATCATCATGCCCTTTTCGGTCATTATACATACTAAAAGCACTTCTGAAAAAAATTTACCAAACACTTTGACAACTCACAGCAGTTTTTCACATTCGGTTTACCAAACGCCTAGCTGCTTTTTTTCACAGCTGATTATTTTCGCAGCACAGCAGAAGCAACTTTTTTTAAAAGCACAGCAATGCCAAACTAGCCCTTAAAATGGGATTTAAAAGCTGCATAGATCTCAAACAGTGACTTATTATGGCGTAGTTTAATTTACACAAACACAGGTAAGAGTTGTTTGCTTTGTGCAACTGTAGCCTAATATTTACTGCTCTCAGTCTCAGAACATTAAAGTAAACAAACCAAAGCAAGCTGATCACCTGCTTCCACTCTTAGGGTTTTGGAGCAGAGTGTCCATCTGTTCCGCAGCTCATGTTCCAGAAATCAACCTCATATTCAAGCACACGCAGGAATGTTACTTCAGCTTTGCTCACTGCATCTTCCGAAACCTTCACCAGAGGCACGCTGCCTGAAGCCGCCTTCTCCAACTGCCGGTCAGCTATGTTTCGTAGAGAAGAGCAGTAGCGACCAAACCCATCATTGCCCCATCTCTGGCAAGCCTCTTGTAGCTCTATTGGGGTTTTGGACCCCTCTTCCAGGCAATGGGCAAAGCTCTCTTGGTACACAGCTTCAATGGCCCAAAAGGCTGCCATGGCCACAGTATAATCAACCTCTGGCCTCATTAATTCCTCTAGAAATCTGTAAAAACACCACTCCAATTAATACTAATATTTACATAAAAAATATCCTAAATTTTCAATCCCAACTATGTATCATTTGTTTGTTCCTTCCTTACCCACTCTAAACTTCATTCCCCTTTCACATGTCACATCATTTGGTGAACAAACTTATAGAAAATAAAATTGGAGAAAACAAAATTGAGAAAATCTTGCATGCCATAATGGACCAAGGAAGGAGGACTACTTGGTACATATAAATACTCACCATGGCCTAAACCCAACATAGTTTTTGAATACAAACGATAATCTAAACTACTTTAAATTAGATTAATTTAGAGAGAAGGGTATTGACATAAGACACCTTACTAATTAATGACTGCTTGCTAAATGCTGAGCAAGTAATTTTGAGTTTAATTAAAAGAAGATGGTAGTTAATTACCCGCAGTAATCTTGTGTTGGTTTTTCAGGGGCAACTTGAGAGAGGTCAACACCCCATTTGGAAGCCTCTTGCTTGAACCATGCAATCTCATCATTCAGAGAACCCAAACCACTCAATATCACTTCCATATCACCACTACTCTCATCACCTTTCTTATAAGCCTTTATCAGCACACTCGCTACAAAAGGCACAAACGCCCTAACAAATATGTAGTCTTGCCCCTGCAGCCACACCAAGCATTTTAAAATTAAATTACAAAAATAAAATAAACTAATTGCAATTTCTAAACGCTGTTCGGAGAAATTGGAAAATGAAACGACACCGTTACGTCGTAATTAAATTAACCACGTTTAATGCGTGCGGCTTGCTTACCAGCCATCGTTTGAAGGCGGAAAGATCGACGGTGCCATCACGAATGCTGAGGATAAAAGGGTGTCGAGTGGCTCCTATGTAGATCAGACGGTGCTTCTTCACCCACGTGTCGGTCATCCCATCGTACGGCACCCCAGGATTCGACTTCCCGTCCATTTTCTGCGGCTTCGATCTCTCTTCCCTTCCTTTCCTTGTGTGCTCTCTCTGTTTGACGGTTCCAGTGACTTTGTTCGAGTGAGAGGGAGAGAGACGGAGGAGGGGCTTTTGTGTTGGAGTGGAGAGGACAGGCCCAAGGGGCAATCTTCGTCTGCCCAACACGTGGTAGCCATGCAGGAAAAGAACCGCCACGCTTGTCTTATTAAAGGAGCATTGGACAATGGCCCACCGTTGTTGATAATGGGCCTGCAAGTAAAGGTCCAATGTGTAATTTCTGCCATTTGTATATTTCTTTGTAATTCTTTTTTTATTTGTCCTTTCTATTTTTGTTTTTCTGTTTTTGACAAATTAATATTTTAAAATACTCTAATGTACGGGAAGGGAGATTAAACTCAGGTTCAAGGAGATGGACACACTGCCTTTTGGTCTCTTTTTTTTTTTGGTAGATTGGTGAAATATAAGCACTGACTAAATATTAACATGTTTAATAGTCTAAATTCAAAGTTTGACAATGTAAATAAAAGAATAATTTCATTATATTGCTATGATATAGGGGGACATGGGGACATGAAATTTGGAGACAGCATATTCGAACTCGATTCTATTTTTCACTTTCCCTATAACTAATTTGGCTGATGTAATGGTCTTTTGTTATAATTTCTTCAATAAGAGCATCCACAGCGGGGGGTGTATAATGGGGTGTATGTTAAATATACACCCTTTGTAGCCGGAATCATCAATGGGAATATGTAAATGGTTGTAAAAATGTATCACAACCATGGAGATGTAAAATTAGATGCACATTTGCATCTTTTTTTACATCCTTTGCAGGCGAGACTCACAAAAGAAAAAGGGAAAGAGAAGGATTGTAATTCAAAATGGAAGGCCCAGATTTCATGCACTTTGCATTGCACTTCCAATGGCCCAGATTTCTACATAGATATTTTTATGTTAGTTTGTAGGTAAAATCTTATGTTCTACAAATTTGAATTTTTTTAGGTCCATTTATTTGGAAAAATAAAATAAATCTAACACGCACAAGATTAATTTTACAAAGTTCAAACAAAAAAATGAATTATTTGTTTGTACCAAAATTTGCACTTTTTGGCCAAACTCTCCATTCTAGCCAAAATACATTTGGACTTATTTTTTACTCATCAGCCCAACTGGCCATTCGGGCTCCACTTGCCAAAAATTGGAAATGAAGCCCATATCATTCCAAGAGATAAAATAAGCCAAAATAGCTTTCCCAAGTTCCCAGATTACATATTTTGAAACTTGAGGTCTGACCTTCATTAACTCAAGACCATATCAATAGAAAGGTAAAAGCAAAAGTTATCTCCTATAGCCATTTAAGTCTCAGGAACTACAGACCCGTGTGGTCTCATCAATTAAGATATTTTGAAGCACAAGTTACAAGAATGGCCAGAAGGTATTCAAAAGGAATTCTTAGAGAAAGCATGCTGAGTATCTCTGCAAAACATCCATGTGCCTTCAAAAGAGGGATATTTTCTTCACAAGTTACAAGGAAAAGATATTCATCACAACTGATATTTTCCAGGAGATATTTTCCAGATATTTTTAGGAACCAAAATTCCTATAAATACAAGGGATGAGAGCTGAAAAAAGGACACCCAACAATCAACAAAACAAATACAAAAGAAACAATCAGTTCACTGATCATTCTAGCCTTCAATAGAAGCAAAGCCAACAAAGGTACCAAGGACCTTCAAAGCTATCCTTGAGATTCTGCTCAGAAGTCCCAGCCACTCACAATTCAACTTGATTATAGCTCGGCCAATTTCAACATTGGTATCGATTTCCAGCTAATATTTATTAGTTGAAGGTGCAGCCAGTCCAGTCCAGCCTAACAGTCCAGTCCAATCCAGCTTGACAGTCCAGTCCAGTCCAGTCCAGTCCAGCCACACAATCCAGTGCAGTCCAACTTGACTAAAATAGTCTCAGAAATGGCATTCCAGGCAGAATTCGAAGTCCAATATTTTGATGTATTTCCGGACTTAGCAGTTCCTTTCATTTACTGTATTTCAAACAGTTCTCCTTGAACTTGTTTTTATTTTCAAACACTTGTATTTTTGCTTTACTTCCCAGTTTTATTTAGATAAATTATGAAGTCCTTACCAGTCTAAGGCATAGAAAAGAACTTACTTGGGAGATATTCCTCACCCAAATTCACAATCGTTTGTTCACAGTCAATAGCTTGGGGCGCAAGTTATTTTTTACTCTCAAGTCTGTTAGAATTGAAAAATTGCTAACGGTGGCACGCTCGACACACAAAGAAAGTTAATTTATTGACCAACCATGGTCTTTGGATTAATGGGGAACTTTACCCTACCATCACAGGTACTAAACACAAAAAGGGGTAAACTTTATTACAAACAAATTGAATATGCATCTTTGGATTTACATCGTTTCCCATTGGAGTAAAAAACGTATTTAGAAAACAAAATTTAGAAAACATCAAGGGAAAGGGATGCACTCTTGATACTTTGTCAGGAAAACAAAATTTAGAAAACATTGATCTCCTCTTTCTTTCTTTTTTCGTTTGTTTATAGGTGCTTAGCTATTACATGAGATATTTAGCAGTCTTAGCATTGACTGTAGGGAACTTCCAAACAGAAAGAGAGAGAATTGGTGTTCCTTTCCATCCAACAATAAGGCCTTTCCCATTAGCATCCAATGTACAACAACTCCCACAAGCAAACTGTTTAGCCACAAGGTCTGCTTGGTACAAGGATGACAAGCTGAGCTCTGCTTCCACCATTCCACATTCTGCAAACAAAGTCCTCCAAGCATCGATTTTCATGCGCCGGATTATCCTCTCTTTGCCTTCGCTCACAATGATATTTTTTATCTCAAGGCTCAAATATGTTTCTTCCAATTCCATCCTGTAGGCGCTGCCCCTGTCCATGCAAACATCAAGGCACTCAAAATAAGCACTATAGTACAAGAGTGCTTCATTGAAACGGTTTGTGAAAGTTGGTGAGTTGTGATTTGCTTCGATTTCGGTAATCACCATCAGACGGGGATTGAGGTTTCTGAGTACTTTTATTAGAGATTCTGAGCAATTGGGTTGTCTCATTGTGCTGCATAGCAGCAGAGGGCAGTAAACTGCAGCTGCTTCACCATCCTCTAACTCAAAGGTGTCTTCATTAATATCTTTGATATCTTTCACCATGGCTACTTTGAAGGAAAATGGTAATTTCAAAGCCTCGGCAAACTGAGCCAACCTTCTGCCAGTGTCCTTAATCTTTTCTCTTGATGTCACTCCAACAGCAGTAACTTTTAGCAGCTCGATCGGGCATTCGTATCGAGTTGCAAGAGCTTGCATCAACACTATGCAGTGCCCCCCAGTTCCGATTGCAAGGTCAATGAAGTGAACCTTTTTGGCTGATGCTACAGTTTCAACAATTGCTTGGATCCCTGCAAACTCAGTTACTTGATAAAAGGGAACTTCTAAGAAGCATGCCATTAAAGCAGGAGTTGAACTCGCCATTGCTTCTTGGAAATGCATTGCAAGTACATCTCTGCTTTCTGAGCCCTCAGATGCGTTTCTGCCAGTTTCTCTATCAGTCTTCTCCTGAAGAGCTTTGGTAAAATAGTAAACAACTCTTTGAACTGAATTTCCACAGCTGGAAGATAGGAAATGGCATAGGTTCTGTAGTTTTCTTGCACAACCATATTGCTGCTTTGCAACCTTTTCAGCAAAAGCTAAAAGAAGGTGTGCAAGCTCAACATCTTTGGCTTCCTGGTCTGAGAGGCCAAGCGGAGCACTGCCTAAAACACGACCAGGCATGCAGTCATCAGCGTATCTCCGGGAAGAGAACTGGATGAAGCTTGCTCTTGCTACTCTCATTACTTCAACAGTTGACAAGCCAGGTACACAACTCATGGTTCAAAGTGTATAAAGCTGGGGGTTTTTCTTAGTGTTAAAGTGTAAGGGTTCTTCTCAATTCTCATCCTGTGTATATATAAGCTGACCTCTTGGTTGTCGAAAGCTAAGCTATGACTTTTGACGTGGTTTGACAAAATTTGTAGGATATTCTAGGCTTGGCCTTCCATGAAATTTCTTGGAAAAACTGTCAACAGCTGTATGGAAAACTGAAATGGTGGAGTAACTTGGTTGGATTGGACAGGTTTACTAGAAAAAAAAAATAGTACAATACAAATTATTCTGGTTTTCACCAAATGATTCTTGTTGATCCTCAATAGCCTGGCCGCAGTTTAATACATCCAAAAGCTACAGACAATATTATTTTTGCAAGGAATATGGGACGACATAATCCAAGCGGATAGGTAAATTATTCCTTTTGCTGATTTAGTTTTCTCCATAACAAGGATCTGGTATATCTTTAAATAAATTTGCTTAGAATGTCAGCCGGCTTATTATGCAGCAAAAGAATAAGGGAATAAAGATAAAGAATAAGACAAGCTAGAAAACCACACAACAGAGAGAAGAAAGTACAAACTGGAAGCATGTTTTCATGAAGCACCACAGCATGGCATCAAGTTGATGGAAGGGAAATAAAAAAGAAATAGTAGAATTTTAATAGTAATAATACAAATCGAGAGCAAATCGACACCATCTAGTTTGAGTAATATGCACAGCACAATACACTCAATACTAGTTTGACACAGAAGACATCAAGAACAAGGCTGATGTTCACAACTCTTGCAGGGTAGCTTTCATGATAGTTGAATTTAGATATTAGGACAAACTATAGTAAACCCCCCAATTTATAGGGTCATTTACGATTCCATACCCAATTTTGGGGACATTTACAAGTACATACACAACGTCACGGAAAACCTACAAATTACTCCCTCCGTTAGCCATACTGTTTGTGAGTCTGTTAAATGCTAACGTTTCAAAAGTGGACCCCTTTTTTTATGACGTGGACTTCCACGTGGATCAAAAATTAATAAAAAAATTATTTTATTGTTTAAATTATTTATTATTGTTAAATTAATTCAAATTTTAAAAAGCAAAATTTTTATAAAAAACTCAAAAATCAAAGTCCTCTCCTCCTAATTGTTTCGCTGAGCCTAATAACAATCATAGATTCATGGTCCTCAACCCAATTGTTTCGCCGAGCCCAAATGCAAGGAAGTGGTTCAAGACCAAGTT